TATTGGTCGAAAGACCGGATCGGAAAAAAAAGAGGAGACGAAGGGCTAAGAACACGGAACAACGTGGCGCAAAGCTGGAGGGTAATCAACCAGCTGACTTTGTGCAGGACTCGAGCTTGCGCGGGAACCTCGGTGATGGAAAGGTGAAAGGGGGAAATTAATCTGGTATTGCGGATGCTATTATTACGCTACTACGAGTGTCATTAAACGAATGGTTCCGAATTGGCAGTCGAGCGTGGATTCGAAGATGACGGAAGATGAGAAAGCGGTCGCGGAACGGAATTCCCTGTCCGAAAAGAAATCCGGTTCCGTGGCGTCGTTCGCAGGGAGTAACGAGGAGATGGGCCCATTGGCGACCGAATACGGAGATGCGTTCGGCGGTTTCAACAATGATCCTGGGGTGGCGCTAGCTAGATTTAAACGAATCAAACGAGTTCTTCGCCCTCCGGTTTCCAACCCCTAGTTTCCCAACATTCGTACACGAAATTTCGCGCTCAATCGCGTTTCACAATCCTACGATCGGTCCGTGTCGTGACACCGTTATTTAATCTATATATATATATTTATATATCTTCTATATACGTATATATTATAGAAGATAGAGAGAAATATATTAGTAAGCAACACGTAGATTAATTAGCCGTAGATCTGTTCAAAACAACGTAAAGTAGGAATGCGGATATCCGACATTAACAGTTCCCTTACCGGTTCCCTTAAGATTCGAAAGCGATAATCGTTGGTATCGCGTAATCGCAATAATAACGGTCCCGTCGGTAACGTCGTGGCCAATGTTCGATTGTTACACGCAAAAGTCGTACGTCCTTGAAACGGAAATGTACGCCGCGCGGCGCCTCTTTCGCGAGTATACTCTCGAATCTCTTTCACTTATTATTCGCGTCTTTTATTGTCTTTAATCTATCCCTGATCACGTATTTAAAGCGATTCGACGCTATTTCGACTTTCGTTGCAACTTATGTTAAACAATAAAAAAAAAAAGTACTTTAAGACAAACGACAGATACGATGAGAGATGTATTAATAAAATATAAATTTATATACGAAAATTATTATCTAAAAAGAAGAAAAAGAACGAATAGATATATTTTCTGGATTACCTGCTGGATGGATCCATGGCTCGTCGTTCGATGCTTGGTTGAGTGGCGCCTCTAAATGGAGAGAGAGAGAGAGAGAGGGAGGGAGAGAGAGAGAGAAAGACGGGTAGACCCAGAGGCAAATACACAGATAAAAACATTCGTAAGACGTTCAAGATTTAATAACAAAGATACGATTAAACACGAAGAAGACACATAGATCGTTAACCCTCTGTTTTGTGCGCTTACATTACGGGGGAGACTTTGACTTTTTTTTTTTTCTTTTTCTTTTAAATTTACTCTCGGCAAACGAGTACCGACTCGTCTCCTCGCTTGTACCATCCATCTCTCCTTATCACCGTTCTACTTTACAACAATATGAAACAATTATTTACACATCGACGGGCAGAAGGATCACGGTGTTGCGTGAGAAATGACTGAAATGTGTTCCTCTCTCGTATATATATTTCTTTTCCTTTCTTTTTCTTTTTCCCCTCCCCCCTTCTTCTATTCCTATTTCTCTTTCGTTTCGTTACGCGCATCGACGTTCGCCATTTTACGCCAGGATACGCACAGCTACGTCGAACCAGCTTCAAGTCGAAAGTAGCGTAGCTGGAATTTATCGAGAATCGAACTTTCGCTACAAAAATTTCTCGTCGCTCGCGAGAATTCGATCTCGATACTTCGATAGTTCGCGCCAACGATTTTCTCCAACCATCTTTTTACATTCGTCTCGATCGAAATCCTTTTCTTCAATTCGTTTCTTCGGTATTTAAACGAATATTGTTGCGATCACTTTTGAGAATCGTTCGCGCGAATTCGCAGCGAGAAAAGACTCGTCCTTCGTCGCGTCTCCGGTTACACGACTGACTTCGTAGACTTTTTGCTCGCGCGAGATCGTGTACAGGCGATTTAGATAAACGAACGTAGTTAGTCCGGCAAGAAGGCTGCTGGTTGGTTGGAAACGTTACAGGCACGATCGTTACAAAAAGAATCGCCACGCCTCCGTCCTGTCCTTTCTCGATAATCTGCTCTCGTCGCAGAGAACGCATCGTCGTTGGACAACAATTGGATAAACCTCGAGCCAGGAATTGACGTAGGTATGTACATTTATTTTTTTTTCCTTTCTTTCTTCCTTTCTTTCTTTCTTTCCAAAGGGGTCCTGGAAGGTCGATGTGATCGATTTCTAATAATAATAATTTTTTTTCTTTTTCTTTTGCGAAACGAAAGTCGAGTAAGGACGAAACGAGCGCGATGGTTGGAAAATTCGAAAATTCGTCGAAAGCGTGGCCGTTAACGAAGGCGACGCAGGTCAAAATCGAGGGACGAGGCGAAAAAGCCGCGACTAATCGTAAAAAATGAGAAACCGGATCGTTCGGTGCGGTGAATGTTTTCTTTCTTTCTTTCTTTTTTTTTTCCCCCTTTTTGTTTCGCTTTGTTCCGACGGATACTCTGCTTTAGTGCATGTCGAGATAGAGACTTTCTTTTTATTTAAAAAAATCGATGTCTGAGAAATGGTGTTCACAATAATATGGTACAACAACATAACGGTATTACAGGCTTAAATATGTATATATATATATATATATGTATATACGCATATAAATGTATATATGTATATATATATATATCTATATGAACATATATTTACACGTATATATGTATATATATATATGCGTAATATTTATAATAATATAGATAATTTTCTTTACCACGATAACATGGCTATATACAAATATTACAATGTTCCCCCCCCCCTTCCTTCCTTCCTTCCTTCCGTTCCTTCCGTTCC